GCTATGAGTCGGGTCCGATTCAACGGCACATAACAACGACAACAACAAACATAAGAAAGTATATTTTACATTCAATTTTTTCATTCCTTCATTCATATTATTTCATTCATTCATTCATCCATTCAACAAATGTCTACTGAAAACTTATTATGTGCTTGTCCTGTGGGGGGGGGAGGGGATGCATTAAGAAGAACAGTAGATACAATCCTTATCCTCACTGGGTTTGTGAACTAGTAAGGATGATAAATGTAAAATACAAATTCTGAGGAATAACTCCATAGTGACATATGTTATGAATCTTCTGTGGGAACAGAATCAAATGCTAAAGGAAGTTTGTTCTGTGTGTCAGGATGGTTTTGCCTGAGGATGACACAATTAAGCTGAGATCTGAGGAATAAAGATCTAGGTATGAGAATTTATGCCTTTGAATTGTGTTGCTGAAGAATATTGACTACTGCCAGAAGAATGAATAAATCTGTCCTGGAAGAAGTACAGCCATAATGTTCATTGGAAGTGAGAAGGCCAGACTTTGTTTTACTAACTTAGGTCATGTTGTAAGAAGGGACCATTCCCTGGAGAAAGATATCATACTTGGTAAAATTGAGGGTCAGTGAAAAGGGAAAACCCTCAACAAGATGGATCGACACAGTGGCTGCAACAATGGGCTCAAGTCTAGCAAGGATATAGGAGTTCTGGTAGCGTAGTGCCTAAGGCATTTGACTGCTAACCAGAAAGTTGGGGGTTCAAACCCACCAGCCACTCCTCAGAAGGAAGGTCGGGCAATATACTTCCATAGTGATAACGCCTCGGAAAACTAAGGAGGGGTCGCTATGAGTCGGGTCTGACTCGACGGCACATAACAACAAGAAACATAGCAAGCATTATGAGGATGGCACATCACTGGGAAGTGTTTCATTCTGTTGTGCATAGAGTCTCTATGAGTTGGAGTCTACTTGATGGCACATAGTAACAAAATACTTTGCCAAGCATGTCCTTCTCCAGAAACCCAATGATATCTAACAGTAAACAACAATAACATCTGAGAACAAACAACAACACGTAAGAGAGGGCAGAAGGAAAATGGTCTAAACAGGGGGAACAACACTGGCAAACTGATGATTTTGAGGTATTAAAATAAAATATGAGAATGAAGAATAGCAGGGCATGGTTGTCCTGGAGAGGTGGGCTCTGCCATGTCATGCCTGCTGATCTAAGCAGTTGTGATTTTACCCTAAGGATGATGGAAAATATTAACCAGTTTTAAATAGGGCCATGACATTATCATAATAGCAGGCCTGGACAAATCTAAGAAATGGTAATAACAGATTTGAGAGGAAAGGTCTTGCCAGGAGAGTCTAAAATACTCAAGTGGGTATCTTCTTGAGGTAAACAATAGTGGGTTTCCCATTTTCTCCCCTTTTTAGACTCCAGTTGCTCAAATAACTTGTTTTACAAGGATTAACACAAGACTGGTCAATATATGAGACAGATGTTAAAGATGTACCAAATGTTTAACTTTTCCCAACTGCTCTACCTCTCTATCATTTCTAACATCAACTACTCCTCCTCCCCTAAGTATTCTCCCTCCTGTATTAAACAAAAAAAAAAAAAAAAAGAAAGAAAGAAAACTCAAACTCACTGTTGTGGAGTCAAATTCGATTCATAGCTACCCCTCCTTGGGTTTCCAAGGTGGTATCACTATGGAAGTAGATTGCCCAACCTTCCTCCCATAATTCACTGTAACATCTCACAGAACTCATGAACGACCAAGGAATTAGGTTGTGGAGGCTGGCAAGTCCTAAATCCATGGATCAGGTGTCAATCTGAAGGATTCTCTTCACTCATGGGTTGAAGGAGCTGAGGAACTCAAATTAGCCATTCAGTCTGCTGTCTCACAAGGCTGCAGAAGCTGGTGTATCTGATTAGATGATAAACTGCTGTCTCAAATCCCAAGAACCAGAGGTCAGATGATGAAAAGCAAGATGCAGAATCCAGAGTGAGAGAGAAAATTTTGCTGGAATATTCATGTATATTGGATGTAAACCATACCCTCAAGGAAACTAAAGGTGGCGACTTGAGTCAAGATACATCCCACCCTAATCCTGTTTCATTAACTTAATGGACAACTCACTGTAAAATAGGACCATAATTACATGTATAGAGTCTGGGATTTACAACACAAAATGGAATTCTATGGCTAGAAGGGCCATTTTAAATAATTCACTGCACTGTGTAGTCTCCCCAGGCCCAGAGCAGATCTTGCTAGTGTCTCTATCCCTCTTCAGTAACTCTTAGAAAACGAAGGAAAAAGATTTAGTATTAGATTTTCCAGCACAGGACTACTGAACACATTGGGGATAACATGCCAATAAACAGTAAGAGAGGTTCCACTCTCCAATGTGATCAGATGTTATCCATTACATGTAATCAGAAGAATATTTCCATCTCTGTTATTCTGCTGCAAATTTCCCAGAAAGAAAGGAAGTCATTGCTATTCCACATTCATCTTGCACAACGAATATTTTTCTTCATTTTCTTTCCCTTTCCTTTTTAGTCCCCTGTATTTCTCTTTGGGAGCTCTGATGTCGTAATGCCTAAGGCACTTGACTGCTAACCAGGAGGCTGGCGGTTGAAACCCATCAGCCTCTCCTCAGAAGGAAGGTTGGGCAATCTACTTCTGTAGTGATACTGCCTCGGAAACCCAAGGAGGGGTCTCTATGAGTCGGTCCGACTTGACAGCACATAACAACAACAACGAAAATATTTCTCTTTATATCCATAGTGAAAAAGAAAGCAATGAACTGAGATTGATTTTTGAAGATAATGAAGACACTCAGAATGGGATAGAGTGGGCAGACAAACTGCCTTCAGATTCAGAGCATTAAACAAGGAAATCGGCAGATAAGACTTACTTGGCCCTTTTTCTAGCCTAGTCCTCTCTCTAAGTTTTCTCCAATATGTTGTTGTTGTTGTTGTGTGCCGTCGAGTCAGACATGACTTATAACGATCCCTCCTTGGGTTTCCGAGCCAGTATCATTATGGAAGTAGATTGCCCCATCTTCCTTCCTAGGAGTGGCTGGTGGGTTTGAACCGCCAGCCTTCTGGTTAGTAGTCAAATAATGCCTTTTCTGTTTGCCTCACAAACGTGTTAATGCATGTGATTGTGCTTTAAAATTGCAAGGTGACATTATTAATTCTAGTGCTACTACTATTAATAATTTGCTTTATTGATGACTTCTCTGGTACAAAGTAAGGAATATAAATGAGGAATCATGCTCCATATTGTTTTTACAATTTGCCAGGTTATGTCAGTCTGGGGATAATTTGAAGCAGAGATGCTGCTACCATTTGGCTCTTTGATTTCCCCTATGGTTTTCCTCTTTGAGTCTGTGCCCTGAGCAAGCAGCTCTCTCACAAACTCTTGAACACAGACTGAAATATACCCAGAAGAGATAGGTTTTTGAGTTATTTGAATTATATTTACCTTGGGTTAAGCTCTTACAAGTAGAGAAAATAAAAATAAATAGTCAATGTTTATAGAAGTAAGAGGTCTACTATTCTTTATAAGAAATAAAATTAGATACCATCTTCTCTGTGACTTTTGTATGATTTAGGGGTTGGTGTGCAACATGCTAAGGAGTTCTGGTGGTGTAGTGCCTGAGGCGTGGGGCTGGCGCAGGATCGGGTAGTGTTTCGTTCTGCTGTGCATGGGGTCGCTATGAGTCGGAAACGACTCGACGGCACTTAACAACAACAACAACAACAGTGCCTGAGGCATCTGACTGCTAACCAGAAGGATGGTGGTTCAAACCCACCAGCCACTCCACAGGTGGAAGACTGAGCAATCTATTTCTGTAAAGATTTACTGCCTTGGAAACCCAAAGTGGGTTGCTATGAGTCAGAATCGACTCGATATCAGTGAGTTGTGTGTGTGTGTGTGTGCAACATGCTACTGCCATGCTTTAAAAAATGCATGTAAAATATGTACTATAATGAAAGACTCTGGATAATAAGAATGTGAATTGTTTTTTCATTAATGGCAAGACTTCTTTAGAGAGGGGCTTGTTTGGGAGAGTGTGTGTGTGTGTGTTTGTGTCTGTGTGCCTGCTTATTTATAGATGGAGACAGAGCCAGAGATTCTTTCTTTATACTCTAGTAAAGGTTTATGCTCCCTTGAAAGAGCTACTGTTTATTTTCTTACTATACCTTTTGTGAAGTATTGAGATTCTTGGATGGTGCCCTGTCACTCACTGGGCTGAAGTACAAATGCTGATTTATTGCCAGGCTGCTGCATTGTGATTTGCATTCCAAATCAGACTGCCGATTCCTATTATAAATTGCTTATCCTGTTGTCCTTTATCTAGAATTTGTTCCTCCTTTTATGACCCTACTCATTCCTCAGTACTGATCCTTAGGGGGAAATTCTCTTTCAAGAGATTCCCATTTAAAAGCAGCAGTTTTAGGAGGTTAAAATCATAGCAATAAATTAAAAGGATATCAATAGATTCTTTTTTGTTTTCAGTGTTTCTATCCCTTTCATCTAAGAGTCCTATGGAACTGAAGTAACATAATTACTTAAAACACATATCTCTGAGGCTTAAAGGTTTATACACATTCCTTTGAAAACGGTACTTCCATTGCCTTTTAAATCTGAAAGGTGTGAGTTTACAATCCCTCTCTAAATAATAACATTTTGCTGATAAACGCTGCAATGCTATAATTGCATCATTTCTTGGTACTTTTAA